TTTATTGATTGCAGATTTGTTTGTTTCATCCTTTTTTTTTTTAATTTGGCTATGTCTGAGCAGGCGGGCTGTGTGTTCTTTGTTGTTTGCTTGTCTGTGGACACAATACTTTTCGCCTCCTTCTCCATTTGGCAGGGTCAGTCGCTCAGATATGGTACAGCAGGGCAGGTCTAGCTGAAGAGGAGTAGCTAGGATGGGTTGTTTGTGGCACTTACTACAGCCACCAGAGCGGGTCGGTAATCAGTGCAGGGCAGTTTCCGGTAGGTTGTGCCTGTGCTGCTTGGTGATGTGATGTTAAGCGCATGGTGCAGGTAGGCAGGATGCAGGGGGGAGATTGTGATGTGTGGAGCTAAGATGGGTATGGGAGAGAGGAACAGGAAACATACAAACAAACAAAAAAGAGTGCTAGGGGAGCTTGCCATTGGAGTGGAGAGATGAGAGACTATGAAATGGAGAAAAAAAGGGGAAGAAGAAGAAAAAAAAGAAAAGAATGAATAAATAAAAATTAGAAAGAAAAAAGAACATCAAAGCTCCTAGAGATCTCACAGGTGTGGCTACGAGGTCTGGGGAAGTTGTTCCCAGGTGTTGAAGTACAGCCTGGCTAGGAGGCATAGAGGTATTCAGTGCCAGGTATCCAGGGGACGGGAAGAGAAAGAAAGTATAGAGAGAGAAAGACAAAAAGGGAAAAAAAGGGGAAAGAAAACAAAACAAATAAAAAAAAAAAAAGAACAAGAACCCCCCCCCCCCCAAAACAAAACAAAACAAAACAAAAAACACAAAAAAAGAAATGCTCTTAGGGATCCCTCTGGGCATCTGTGCAAGCTGAGGGGGTAAGTCCCAAGCCGTGCAGCACCGCCTAGCCAGAATAAGCACCCAACTCGAGAAAAGAAAAAGAAAACAAACAAACAATTGAAAACAAACAAACAAACAAAAGCCCTGAGATCCCACAAGCGTGGCAGCATAGACCGGGAAGCAGTTCTACATTTGAACCGAGCTCCACAGCCCCTCAGGAAGAAGAAAAGATGGCGTACGGAGCCAGATATTTGAGCAGAAGGAGGGGGAGATGGTGAGAGGTAAGGAAGAAATCAAAAGAAGCAGTAAAAAGCAACACCAGCAGCCAACAAATGGCACTTAGGGAATCGGCCAGTGTGGGCGGGTAGAATCCAAGCAGCTGGTGCTTCCCAGCCAAGAGGCTGTGGCTGCAGGAAGGAGAGGAGTCCGACTGGGTGTGAAGAAGAGTGGGGGGTAGGAAAGCGTATATCGCCAGTTCCTGTTTGTTCTCTCTCCTGCTGGAAGCTCCATGAAGCTGCTTTCTCGTACCCCCTATTTGCTGGTCCCTGATAGGAGTCCAAGATGGTGGATCCGTGCTGTATTAGCTGATGGGGGACCTCTCCATGTATGTCTCCTTGCTCTCTGTTCTCTGTCAGTTTCTTATTCCATTTGGTGCTTGGCTGAGTTCTTTATCTCTTCATTTGATGTTTAGGGTTTCAGGATTGCTGTTTTCTCTGTTTTGCTTAATTTTTCAGATCTTTGCTGTGGAGGGACAGTGTGGTGCTTCTGCCTAGAATGCCATGTTGCCGGAAGTTATCGCCAATGTATATATTTTTAAAAAACTGACAAAAATTTAAAGTCTTGTCACTTTTATTTCTCTTGAGAGAGGAAAAACATGTAAGAAATCATAAAAACTCTTTGAAGAAATCACGATTCAAGATAGTAACCAATACTTCATTGAAAGCAATTTCTAGTTGTGTTATACTTTATCTTACATAACGGAGATTAGGTTTGATACAAGGAAAATGTTCTGATGTGAAAGTTATTAAAAAATGAAATAGATGGCCTCAGGAAATGAAACTTGAATACTTGTAATTTTTTAATTATTTGCTTGGTTCTTACAAGGGCAGGGACCTTGTCTGTTTTATTTGTCACTGTATCCCAGCTCCTGGCACGGTACCAGGCAGGCAGTAGGTACTCCATCAATACCTACTGACTGAAGAAATAACGAAATCCTGGCCAAGTTAAACAGAGGCTAGGATGACCACCTGATACGGTATTGAAACAGTAGTGGGTTAGGTGGTTGATGGTGCTTGATTCTATGATTGCTCATTCCTTATTACTTTTGATTCTATAATTCCTTGTTCTAATAAATCAACTGATAATATGATCAGCCAAACCACTAACTCAAGGGTTGTACACAGGAACTGTGAACTGTAGGTTCCTCTCAGCCTGAGCTGTGGCCAGAGACAAGGAACATGAAGACATCTGACAGGAGATGTTTTGCAAGGGCTTGTCAAGGAACCAGCATTGCCCTAACAATATTAATGGATGACAGTCCTTCCCGAAGGCTTCAGGGGTTGAACTCAATAGTTTTGCAAGATTGCCCTGATTTTTATATTTTCTTTATATATGTTCCTTTATTTTAATAATATGATCTATTAAAAAAGATTCCTTGAGTTAGAATTGTCTTTTAACTCTACATCATGTAAAAAGCATTACTTTATTGTCTGGGTTTAAAAATCTTGCTTTTTATTCAAAACCAGTGCAGTTTCTGGGCAGGGTTTGCGTTCAGTATATTTATAGGTGCATTTACTGTACTTTATATTTCTCTTTCTGTTTCCCTGTCTTATAGCTGGACTTGGAAGAACAGGGACGTTGATCGCCTGTTACGTAATGAAACACTACAGGTTTACACATGCTGAAATCATTGCTTGGATCAGAATATGCCGGCCAGGCTCCATTATAGGACCCCAGCAGCACTTCCTAGAAGAGTAAGTATTTTGTCTCCATTATCACATTATATCCCTTTTCCTGATCATTTCTGCCTCTTGTTCCTTGGTGTGGACTGTGTCAACCTGTGGTTACAAAATGGCTGCACTGTTGGAAGTCTGTGCCTATAATGGAATAATGTTGATTTGACAGCTAATGTGTTCTAACTTCATACCTTTTATATCTCTTAGATCAGGTGAGAGCGCAAAGAAAATCACGGAGCCATCTCTGCCTACCTTTTTTCTGTCATTTTCTATGTCTGATCTGGCTACAGTGCAATTTTCTTATGTCAGCCCACTTGGCACTTTTCATTCTTTTCTTTTGTTTGCATGTCTAAAAGCAGGAAAAAAACCCCCAAAAAAACCCACAACTCAGGTCAGCCAGTGATTTCAGTAAGATTGCTGCTCTCTTGACAGCTAACAACTGGTAATATAGTTGCAACTTGTGAACATACCTCAAGAAGCTACTAAGAAGGAAGAGGGTGGAAAACTGGGTTTTAAACCTGGCCCTGCCAGTAACTAGCCTAATGACCGTTATTTAGAAGAATACTTATAAATTCATTTATTTACTTACTCATTTTTAACTATATGTCAAACCACACCATTTACCAGGCACCCTGATAGATGCAGCTCATAAGGTGAAGAGATTTAAGCTGTAGAACCCTTTCTAGTCCACTTGGTTTCCCCTTAAAATGTTAGAAATTAGCATCAGTCTACTTACAGATAAAACGAGGAAGCAAAATTAGCACTAGCTGATCTAGACTCAGCTCTAAATTTTATGAATTAAGGATATGTTGTACTGAAACTTTTTTTTTTTTTTTTTTGCTGGGTTGGCTGTATTTTGAATAGTGTTCTTTTCTATATAATTATTTCTCTTCCAGTTTAAATCACTTTAGAGAAACAAAAATGATCATGAATTTCACAGAAAGATGCATCTTAGCACCTGAAATGTTTAAGAGAGTTTCAACTTGCTTACTTATTTTAGTTGCTAATCCCAAAGGGAATAACTGATATGAAAACAAGTGCCAAAAAATGTGCAGTTTAATACCTCAGTTTAGAAGAATGAGGCAGAAGTATAAGGGATAAATAAGGAAACAGACAAAAAAACACACCCAGTAAAGGGATCATTAAGACACAAGTTTCTACGTTTTTGGCCTACGAGGCACAAATAAAATAATTCTTTTATTTTGGAGCTTTATTCCTCATTAGACCCTCAGCCAGTGTTTTCCTCTATTTTGCATTGTGTGCCGGTAACATGGAACTTTGTGCTGTATGTCTGCCCAGGTGCTGTCATACTTATTGTTTACTAACATCAAATAGGTGGCCCTGAAACCAAACCAAACCCCTTGCTGTTGAGTCGATTCGGACTCTTAGTGACCCTATAGGACAGAGTAGGACTGCCCCATAGGTTTCCAAGGAACGTCTGGTGGATTCAAACTGCCGACCTTTTGGTTAGCAGCTGAGCTCTTAACCACTTTGCCATCAGATCTTAGGGTTAAAAAAAAAGAACCTTTAAGCCACTTAGTCAATCTCTTAATACCATTGTTTTGAAGAATGTTCATTAATATCTATTGAAAACTCACCTTGCTCTGGGCACACTGCTAGATGCAGCTGGCAAAGTGAGGAGGGAGGCGTAGCTCTTGGAATACTGCTGTTCAGGTTCACCTGGTTTTCTGAGGGTGTCAGGTAACACAAACCTTCCTACTTCATACCTGCACACTCCTCCCTCCTATCTCCCTACTATGCCTCTTTTCTCTGCAGTATCTCAAAACAATAACTGAAGAAATTAGGGTTATAGAGCAAAGGCACTCTAGGTTGAAGAAAAGTTCTTTTCTTCTTCCATTTAGATTCTTAAGCTATAAAACTTAGGATATTTCTTTAGGTTTGAGTCAGTACCATAGTTTTTCAAGTATTTGTCTGAAAACGGAGGTACAGGAATGACTTGTGTAACTAAAGTGTTAAGGTAAAAGTCATCACTAATGCTGAGGTTAGAACCTTCCTGAAAGCAAGTTCTTTGACTTAGAGGCAAGGCACAGTACCATTTTATATTTTGCAATATTTCTTATCCAACTGGCATGGAAAAATGCTTGCATTGCTCATAGCTTTCCCAGGTTTTATCAAAATGTCTCCCTCAGGCAGTGGTCTACAGCTATTTTGCTTTATGCCTCTAAGCGGTACCAGATGTAGTATTTTGCTTTACGTGACCGTGTTCACTACTTTTGTTCTCTTCTCTTACCCTCCTGTCCTCATTTTTTCCCTTTCAAGTCTGTGTCTTGACATATCTAATGCAGAAGACATCGCTTAGTGCATTGGTAACGTTCATTCATTCATTCAACAGATACTTATTAGGCGCATAAGGCAGTCCCCAAGTTACGAATGAGATCCATTTCTAAGTTGGTCTGTAAGTCGAATTTCTGGATAAGTTGGAACAGGTACACATGTGTCGCTTAATCAAATGTTTGTCTTAGTATATAGTATATGTTTTACCTTTCTATACATATAAAAAGGAGCCCTGGTGGCACAGTGTTTAAAGCGATTGACTGCTAACCCAAAGGTTGGTGGTTCTAAACCACCAGTAGCTCTGCGGGAGAAAGATGTGGCAGTCTGCTTCCGTAGAGATTTACAGCCTCAGAACCCCTATGGAGCAGTTCTACTCTGTCTTGTAAGGTTGCAATGAGTTGGAACCGACTCGACAGCAATGGGTTTTTTTGGTTATGCGTATAAAACGCTTAAGAAACACTTCCAAACCATACAGTGTTTTGATGAGCTTCACAAAGTAGTGCGTGTGTTCGTTATTACGAACCATTGTATTTAACTCAAATTTTTAATATAACAAGCTTTATGGCAGTTCGTTAGTAAGTATGAGTTGTCTGTAAGTCGGACGTTTGTAACCCAGGGACTGCCCATGCTGTGTGTTAGGCAGTGTTCCAGGTCAGTGAACATGACAGAGAAGGTCTTTACTCCAAGAGTGCTTGTATTTCTAGTGTAAGGAGCACAGGTAATAGATTGGTATATAAGTCGATATACATGATGGTTTCAGGTGGTGCTGTGAGTGCTGTGAAGAGATGATAGAGACTAGTGTGAGAGAGTGATTGATGGGGATGTGGGAGGCCCTATGGATTGAGTGGTCAAGGAAGGCTTTCTTAAAGAGCATGGAGATCTACAGGGCAAGAAGGAACCAGTTCTGTCAAAATCTGAATTGTGTCCCAAGTGGGGAGAGGGAGGGGCACACAAAGGTCCTGAGATAGTGACAAGCTTACCATTTTTTGCAGCTCAGAAAGAAGGCTAGTGTGGATGGAATATAATGAGCTGGGAATGGGTGATTTGAAAGGTAGGCTCAGGGAATTTTCACAAAGTGAGCACACCCATGTAACTTACCCAAGCACCCCTTCCCCAGATCAAGAAATAGAACATTACCAGCACCCCCTCTGCCCCCTCCCATTCACTACCCAGCTCTTCCCCAAAGTAAAGTAACCATTATACTGACTTCTGACACCATAGATGAGTTTTGTCTGTTTTTGGATTTTATATAAATGGAACCATACAGTATGTATGTCTGGCTTCCGTCACTCAACATTATCCTTATTGTTATGCATAGCAATAGTTTGTTTATTTCTATTGCCGTATAACATTCTGTTTTTTGAATATATGGCATTTTAGTTCGTTTGATGGATATTTAAATTGTTTTCAGTTTTTGACTATTTCTTATCTTCTGGTACACCTAGGAGTAGAACAATTTGGTTTGTGTACATTCGTGTTTAGCAGATATTACTAAACAATTTTCCAAAGTAGGTATACCAGTTTACATTCCCACCCGCAGTGGTTGGGAGTTCCAGTTTCTTCACACACTTGCTAACACTTGGTATTGTCAGTCTTTTAAATTCAAGTCATTACATTTTGTTTGTAGTAGTAATTTTCTTTGTAGTTTTAAATTGTGTTTCCCTCATGACTAATAAGGTTGAGTTTCTTTTCATATATTTATTGGCCATTTATTTTTTTTCTATGTCAGTCTTGCTGGAGGTTTGTCAATTTTATAGATTTTTTTTTTTTAAATAACTAGCTCTTTGTTTCATTGATTTTTTTTTTCTCTCTCTCCCTCTCTATATATTTAAATTTCATTGATATCTGCTGTTATGTGTATTGTTTCCTTTTACTTGCTTTGAGTTTATTTTGCTCTTCTCTTTCCAGGTTTTTGAGGTGGGAGCTTAGATTATTGATTTGAGACTTACCTTTTTTACTAATGTATGCATTTAGTGCTATAGATTTCTGTCTCAGCAGTTTTGGCTGTGCCCCAGCAAATTTTGATATGTTATATTTTCATTCATTTCAATGTCTGTATTTTTTCCTTGAGACTTCTTTGACCCGTGGATTATTTTAAAGTGTGTTGTTTAGTTTCCAAGTGTTTGAATATTTTTCTGTTATATTGATTCTTAGTTTGATTCCATTGTCATCAGAGGAGACGCTTTGTATAATTTCAGTTATTTTAAATTTGCTGAAGTGTGTTATGGCCCAGGATATGGTCTGTCTTGGTACTTGAAAGGAAATGAAAAGAATGTGTATTCTGCTGCTGGTGGGTGCATTGTTATATAAATATTGATTTAATTCTGTTGGTTGATGGTGCTGTTGAATTCTATATCCTTGCTGATTTTCTGTCTAGATGTTCTGTCAATTGTTGAGATAGGGGTGTTGAAGTATTCAACAGTAGTTGTAAATTTTAATTTTTTTCCTTTTGGTTATATCAGTTTTTGTTTCACATATTTTACAGCTGTTATTTGGTACATTCACATTTAGAATTTTAATGTCTTCTTGGTAGATTGACCCTTTAATTATTATACTACATCTCTCTTTGATTCTTGTAATTTTCGTTGCTCGGAAATCTGCTTTCTCTGATATTAATATAACCACTGCTTCTTTCCCTTTAGTAATGTATCTTTTTCTATCCTTTTACTTTCAACCAGTCTGTATTGTTACCTTTGAAGTGAGTTTCTTCTAGACAGCATATA